CGGAATTGGATATAAATTTTAGAAATAAATCATGATCTTGTATTTGGAAATTTTATGATATCAGAGAGAAATTTATAATTTGATCTTCAGATTTTGGTGGTATCAGAGTGTGGTGTGATAAGTTCTGAGTCTTGTGCATTTGTGGGACCCGTCTCACGAGTGCACGGCGTCTGTCGCGTCTCGAAATTGGGTTTTGAGGCATGACAGTGAGAGAGAAAAAGGAAAAAGTTATAGGAATTTGTTAAGTTAAATTTAATTTTTCATCTACTAACTATTACTCTCTTTTCATTTTAATCTAGAAAGTTTAGTTTCTTTCAAAATCATCTATAAACTTTGAAAATCATTTCAAATTCATCTACCTAAAAAACAACTGTTAGCTTTTTTAACAGAATCCCATGGCATGCTTATGTGGCACCAATTATATGGCACATGTAGTTCTAAAAAATTACACTTTAACCCCAAAAACTTCACAAAATTTTCAATAAGTTTTATATTCAAATCATTTTACTTAGCAAGATTTTTTCTTTATTTTTTAAATTTTTTAATGAATTTAAACGTTTTAATTTTGATTAACAACTAAAAAATTCATCATTGTCATTATTAGGATAAAATTATATCATTCCTTTTTTTATTTAGTTCAAAAAATAATTTTATTTGTATTATCTCTTTCTCAAAATAACTTTTTTTTTTTCAAATTAAGAATTTAAGGATAATTTATGTTTACTTATATTACCCTAAAAAGGAAATCAAAGTTGAAGACAAACATTTTGTGATGGGATGATTAATTAAAGTAAATAGATAATAATAAGATTAAAGTAAAAAAATATATTTGTTTACCTTGAATAATAATAATAATAATAATTAATTTGAGAAAAATTTGAAATTATAGAGCGATCATTATTTTGGAACTAATGGAGTAAAGTTAGAATGTACTCCATACATCCCAGAATAATAAGCATTTTTTTATTTAGAATTTATTTTAAAATAATAGTGATTTTTTTATATTTTAAAGAAAATAAATTTTTTTATTTCTACTTTAATTTTATGATCATATCTTAATTTTAATAATTTTTCTCTCTTATTATAAAAGAGTAATCACAGGGGGACGAAAATTTAAAACTAAAAAAATATAACCAAAATATTTTCTAGTTTGTTCCTAAATTATACCATTAAATATAACCAAAGTATGGGAACAAACTAGAAAAATATATTTTTCTAGTTTTAAATTTTTGTCCCCCATCATTACTCTTTTATAATAAGAAAAATTATTAAAATTAAGATATAATTATAAAATTAAAGTTAAAATAAAAAATTTATTTCCTTTAAAATATAAAAAATTACTATTATTTTAAGATAAATTCTAAATAAAAAAATGCTTATTGTTTTGGGATGTAAGGAGTACATTCTAACTTTACTCCATTTGTCTCAAAATAATTATTTCTCTATAATTTCAAATTTGTCACAAATTAATTATTATTTTTTTATTTTTCAGAGTAAAAAAAAATATATTTTTTACTTTAACCTTCTTATTATCTATTTACTTTAATTAATCATTCCATCACAAAATATTTCTCTTCATCTTTGATTTCTTTTTAAGGGTAATATAAATAAACATAAATTATCCTCAAATTCTTAATTTGAAAAAAAAACAAAACAAAACAAAAGTTATTTTGAGAAAGAGATAATACAAATAAAATTAATTTTTTGAACTAAATAAAAAAAGGAAATGATATAATTTTATCCTAATAATGACAATGATGAATTTTTTAGTTGTTAATTAAAATTAAAACATATAAATTTATTAAAAAAAAAATCTCGTTGAAATGGTAGAATGATTTGAATATAAAACTTAACTAAGAATTTTGTGAAGCTTTTGGAGTTAAAGTGTAATTTTTTAGAACTACATATGCCACACAATTGGTGTCACGTAAGCATGCCATGGGATTCTATTAAAAAAGCTAATGATAGCTTTTTAGGTAGATGAATTTGAAATGATTTTCAAAGTTTATAGATGATTGTGAAAGAAACTAAACTATCTAAACTAAAATGAAAAGAGAATAATATTTAGTAGATGAAAAATTTAATTTAGCCAAATTCGTTGGTCCCAACCTAAAACCTTTGGTTTTTGTGACACCTTTAAATTTAGACTCAAGTTTTTTATATATCTTACTATCTTATCTTATTATATTATAAAAATTATTAAATTCTTCAGTAAATTTTGAATAAATATTCAATGGTCATTTTAAAATTCTCAATAAATTTTTAAAAAATATTTAATAAATACTAAGAAAATACCAAATAGTGCTTTTAAAATCCTCAATAAATATACAATAAATACCTAATAGGTTTTTTAAAATCAAAACTTGATTATATTTTACTATATTATAATAACTAATGGAGGTTTGAGAAAATATGAATGATTAAGAAAAGATAATAAAGACATAAGAATAATAGAAGAAAAAACAATAACAAATACAATATTAATAGATAAGTAAAGATCTACTTACATATAAGTTTTACATATCACATTTACACAAAATCTTAATCATTCATTTTTCTACTTTTGATGATTGAGATTTATCATGATTTTTAGATGAAAAAATAATTATTTTTAATAAATGTGATAGAGAGAAAGAGAGGGGAATGTAGGGTAAAGAGATAAATATAGTGATAGAAATGTGATGGGAGAGCCATGAGATGGAGCTCTAAGAAAAATTAAAGAGAGATAAAGTAAATATAAGTGAAAAAGTATCAAATAATAATGCTAATAATCTACGCTATTTTTGTTTTGACTCAAAACATTTGTAAGTATAGACAACTAAATAGAGGAAAACTTGGGATAAATAAAGATATAATAATAGTCTCATATGCAAAGATTGACTAGAATAAAATAACATCAAGGGAAGAATAAGGGGAGAAAGATTAATAGTATTAAATTATTAATGAAAAATGATTAGTATATCCTCTGGTTCAACACACCTATCGATTTAGTCATTAAATTATGTAATTGAAATCTTTCTTGCTTTGAATTCAAATTTGAAAATAATAATTTTTTAATGAGTCTGTTATAAAGTGTATTAAATTGGAGGGTGTACTAATCATTGTTTATTATTAATTTATTGGGAGTCAATGTGATGTTGAATGTTAAATGTAGAGTAGAGAAAATATAATAGTAAAATGTGAGGGGAGTAGAGTAAGTCTCTAAAATAATTAATGAAAGCTGAAAAGATGAAATAATAATAAAAGAAAACTATTAAGGAAATAATACTTTGAAGCTTCATTTTTTATGTTTTGACTTAGAACATTCTAATTATGATCTTCATGTGTGAATAATCGGGAGGAAAGGAAGGGCAATAGATAATAATGAAAAACGTGTTGTGTTTGGATAGGTACGGATATATAGCTAAAATAGAACTAAGACATTCATAATGAGTTGAGGTAAGAAAGAGCTAAATGAAAAAATATGAGTAATATCAACTTAATAATATACTAGGGAGTGAAAGTACAAAAGGAAAGAAGACATAGGAAAGATAGGGGGATAAAAATAGAGATAGAAAGAGATGAGAAATATGAGAAGATGTACCTAAACAATATAGAAGAGTAAAAGTGAGATAAAAGGAAAAAAGAAAAATTAATGAAATGATATGGGAAAATTCACTTCATGGATGATAAATGATGATTGTAGATATTAAAATTTATAGGACTTATATGTGTTTTAAGGCATGTCCTACTTAATGGCATAGTCAAACATTAGTTTTTGCTAAACTAACAAGCAATGAATTAATTAGGTGTTAATCTCTCAATTACATGAGAAGTAATAAAAATTGGGATCATCATATCAATGAACAAAAAATATATTTTTAATCATATATAGACCTTTTATTTTACTAAGAATTTTTTTACCCATGCTTTGCACTGATTATTCTTTAATTCTTCATATTAGAGTTTAAACTCCATATTATGTTTAATCAACTCTTATATTTTAAAGAAAATGGAAAATTAAGACGTCCTTATCTTTGAATTAGACAAAAATTAGTAATATTAAATAATAATAATAATAATAATACTTTTATTTTTAATCTTTAATTCACTTGAATTTTTTACATATTACCTCATGCATTAATAAAGAGATGAGATATTCAATTTATTAATAAATTGTTTCAGTTTCTTTTGTTTATCATTATTTTTTAAATTAATATTGAAATAATACAACAATTATCATTATATGTTACGTTATTAATTATGTCCCTTTTGATCTTCCATTATCAACTATTGTATAATAATCTTAATTCAGATTATATTTTTTATTACTTAAATGGATCAAATTGAATTCTTGTATATTCATGTCCTTTTACTTTTCATGTTCTCATATATCTATCTTCCTTTAATTTATCAACTTAAGATTTTTGGGGTAAAAGAAAGGCGAAAAAACAAGTCATATAACTTTGAAACTGTAAAAGTATAGTGGGGTCATCTAAGGCCTTCAATATTGCAAAAATAATTACTTTGTATTATAATCTTCTAATTGGTTATTATTCTTTGTAAAAACTGATTTCTATTCCTCTTCCTTTAATTTAATACATTATATATAACTAAAATAATAATAATAAAATAATTATTGACCAATAATTTAATGAAAATATATAAAAAGATTAATTAAAAATTAAAAACTTACTTTTTTAGGTAATATGTTATGAGAAAAAGGTTGGCATGAAACATTAGCAAACAAAGCCTAAGATTCTCAAGTAAAAAACAAAAAAAATGAAATATGAATAAGAAATTAGATAAAAATAACATTATTAGGGCTTAAAAATTGTAATAAAAACTAAATTTTGAATACTAATAAGACAATAATTTATATCCTTGAACAATTAATCACTAAGACAAAAAGAATTATTAGGAATTTTAGGAAACGAAATAAAATTTAGTGATAATAATCAACTATAGAAATTATTTATTTATCTTTTAGAATAGAGTGGCTTGATAATAGATCTAATGAATTATAAAAAAAAAAAAAAAAAAATCATTAGGAACTTTTAGGAATGAATAGAATCTAGTAGAAATAATCGAGAGTATAAGTTGGTCAAAAAAAAATCAAGAGAATAAAAATTAGGTATCATTGCAAACATGATTGATTTATTAATAGATTCCATGAATTACAAATATTTAGTTAATAATAATAATAGAGAATTTTGTTAGGAATTTTAGTTAAG